CAGGCTGGTCAGAAGAGGTCTGCCATGCCATGTGGTCATCTCCAGGGCGGGCGGGGATCGAACTCATGCTGAGTGGCTTTAGCTTCTCAGTGCTGTGTTTTAACTCGCTGCACCACCAGCGAGGGCCTAAACACAACTTTTCAAGATATTGAACAAGATTTGAAAAGGACTGTCATCCCTGAGAGACAAATGTTGGGTGTTTACAGAAAGAGTATTCCAGACAACTGTAGAAGGTTCTTTAATGCCACCACAGAATTGTATTGATCCAGTGTATACACTCGAAACAGTGACAGACTCTGCCAAACAGTCACCTGAAGGAATCAGGGGGCAGTGTCCTGGGGGTCACAGAGGGCTTAGTTTATGATCCCTCGAGAGAGAGAAGAAAAGTGAAAGAGAACTTGTAAGTACTTTCCCATTGTGTTGGGGCAAAAGTAATCATAGAGTAAAAGTTACTATGGTCCTAATTAATGCGCCTCAAAAACTAGGCCCAAAGAACTTAACTGTGAAGTAGAATAAATGCTAAGAATATTTGTAGGAATATAATAACCACATCACACAAAGATTTAAATTATAATATCTGGTATCTGAATAAATGTTACCAGGTCAGCAAAAAATAGTGAAATAAGATTTACAATAAGGAGAAAAAGAAATAACCAAAGTTGACCCACACATAGCAGATGATAGAATTATTAGATGAGGCCATTAAAAACAATTAGTAAACTTGTACTGATATGTTTAAAGAACTTGAGGAAAGGTTGTTTTAGATAAGTAAAGAAATGGAAACTGTAAATAAAACCTAAAAGAATCTTATAGAGATGAGACCTGCAATGACTGTGGTGGACAATACAGCACATGGCTTTAACTGAAGAGTAGATACCATAGAGGAAGCCAATAATAAGTTTTAAAACATAGCAATAGAGACTTTGCTAGAATGAAGCAGAGAGAGAAAAATTACTAAATAAAATGAATAATCAAGGTGATGTATTGGGTTTTTCTTAGATTTACAAATTAATGACATGAAATACAGATAAAACAAGGGGGAGAAAAAAAAAACAGAACTTTTCCTTCCCTCCTATTGGCAATAATTTTAATTCTTAACATTTCCATGGCGTCATGCTATTCCTACTACTTCCCCAGGGATAATTGTCCTGTCTGCTTATTGCTCTGCTCTCACTAATTCACTCCTATCCACCCAGAACTACAGAGCCTCCTGCTAGTTTCCAAAATAAGTGAATTAATTATATTTTTATGAAGATTGGTTAAAAGATGGAGTAAAGTACAACAAAAACATTCCCTTTCAGTTCAGTCTATCTGCCTCCTTTTCCATTCATCTTTTTTTTAATTGGTTCTAAAATCTTATTCTCTGAAGAAAAGAACTTCATTCTGCTCCAAAAATTATTCTCCAATATACACATCTACACTAATCAATATGCCTAAAAGAATAAATCAGCGGCCTTATAATTTTGAAGGCAATCAAATAGGTTACAAATAGTTGGGATTTTATTTCCTGTTTTATTTGTGTAGTCTCAGTAGAGAGCTAACATTTATATTCTTTTGGGACTTGTGACATTTATCCACATAGAAACTGGCAAAAATTGTTTATTGGAAATAACTTGGCATTATTTAGTTCACTAATATGGCCTTTGCACTAACAGAATAACAAAAGGCCAAGCACTCTTTATTTGCAATGAAGTCCTTTGGTTAACCCATAGGAACCTGAGGGTGAGGATCTTGCCATGAAGAATAATAATCCATAAAGCCTGAATCTAGTAACATTGCGGCACAACCACACTGTTGGGTACTGATAAACTGAGAGGATGAATCTACCCTGTGCTTTTAATCATGGAAACACTAGAATTGGGAACATAATTGATTTGAGGGTCACATATCATTAAAAAGCATTACTGTTCAGAATTTGAAAAGTTATGTTGCCTCTCAATCCCCCTTTACTAGATGAAATGGTTAATTGACTCATCTTGAAAAATCAGTTCCCCAAACATCAATGTAAAGAGATTAGAGTATGTCGTTGGTTACTACACACTCCTTTACTCAATAAAGAGAATTACAAGCTCACTCATTGCATGTTCAGGTCTTTCAAAGATCATAAATATTTATAGTGCTGCAATACCATCTAGATTCCATATAGATGTGACTTTGGGTTTGCACACAGAATAGAAGAGAGCTCAAGGATATCGTGGAGCTCTGCTGATGGAAAGGGGGAGAAGACACATCTAATTACTAAATTCAGTGGGCCCTCGGAGACTTCAGAGCTTCTAGCAAATTGCTCAGCCACATACTCTCTCTTGGGGATGTCCCCTTGTCTCTTTTCCACAAGCTGCACAGTGTGTGTCAGCAATTCAGAAACCAGCTCAGTCCAACCTGGCTTGGCCATGAAGGCAGAGCCTCATGTCTCAACCAGCACAATTCCAAATCCACATCATTCGGGTTGTGCCAAGTGGACAATTATGTTCCCAGACATACACTGCAATTCTAGTGTCTCATGATTAAAGGCACAGGGTAGATTCATCTTCTCAGTTTATCACTACCCAACAGTGTGGTTGTGCCACAATATTAGGTCCAGGCTTTATGGATTATTATTCCCCATGGCAAGATCCTCACCCTCAGGTTCCTATGGGTTAACCAAAGGACTTCATTGCAAATAAAGAGTGCTTGGCCTTTTGTTATTCTGTTAGTGCAAAGGCCACATTAGTGAACTAAATAATGCCAAGGTCTGTCCATGTACACGGTTTCCCCTTCAAATCCTGAAATAGGCAGTAAGATGACAGTTAATATGCCATTTTGCTGATGAGGAAAGTGAAGTTCAGAAAAGTAACACATGAGAACATTAGATCTAAGGTAATGCCAGAATCCTGGATAATTTGCTCTGGATGTAAATGATAGTTATTGTGGCTTCACCATTCAGATAGATGAGCCAGATGCTGAGAGCTAAGGCAAGAACCCTGTAAAAAACAAACAAACAAAAAAAACTATTATTCCCCACTTCTGTATGCACCACCAAACTCATGTTTCCAGAGACAAAATGATATAAGTAGTCTGCCTGACTGAAACTCCGCTAGGAACTCATAAAAGTCAACTTATCCAAATAATGTGGTCAAGATTGACTTATAAAGTTGACTAACACAATGAAGCTAAAATATTTTTCTTCTTGACAGATTAGTCTAGAAATACCCTTTCTTTTCTGGGTACAAATACATTCTGATTCTAAATAACCACCGGACAAATAAAGCTTTATAAAACAACTCAATCATAAGTTAGTTTTTCTTAATTAAATAATAAAAAACAAATTAGTTCAAAATCATTTGTAAGAGTAGAAACATACTTATCAAAAACAGGAATATGAAGACAGGTTATAAATATAAACATTTGCTTTACATGTGTAATAATAAGTTAAAATTTACTTAGATAAGAATTCAAGGAGACATATGCTTTTATTTATATTGCATCTATTGAAATATGTGTGCTAACTCCTTTAGTTTCAGGTTAATAAAAGATGGAAGAGTGACATACATAGTCTCATTGGGTGTGGATTTTAGCAAAGGTAGTTAAAGATTTTCAGGTTACCATATTTTATTGGGGAAGATACTCTTGAATATGATATCCATGCCAACTGTCCCAGAAATTTAATTAGGTTATGTCTCCAAAGAATGCAAAGTTTCAGTTCCCAAATAACATTCAACAAGTATCACTTCTGAAAACATACTATTAATATTAACTATTCACACATTGATATTTTGGCTTTATAGAAAAAATAATCATAATGAATTTGATCCAGCTATTTAGACCTGCGTGCGGAGGTTTTATAGCAATGTCAAAGAATTGCCAAGGTTGACAAACATTATTTCTACCGAAGAACTTGACCTGTAATGTGAGAGGGATCCACGCAGGAAGAAAAAACTCTCTGTGGAATGACAGTTATCTGAAGGATGTGACATAGAGAATCCATATTTTATAGGCTGGTGGGAGGGCTGCTTAGTAGACAACTAACTACTCTAATGAGATACCATAAAAAGGGTTCTGAAATAGGAGCCGGAGGATGAGCTATAGGGGAACCAACACCCAGTAGCTGATATATAAGTGAGAGATCCAGCAAGGGGCAATCACACTTCGGAAGCCTGCTCTCTCCACTTCAATCAAGGCCTACCCTTCTGTCTCTGCCATGGCCTATAACAATTGCTGCTCTAAAAGCTACAGCTCTCACTCCAACTCCATTGGTAATTCCTGCCATTCTCCTGCTTCCTCCTCCAGTGCTCTCTGCTCCACTGAGATGAGTTGTAGAGATACCCCCTGCTCTCCTAGTAGCAGCCTGGGGAGTAATATTCTCCAGGACAACTGTCAAGAGCCCTGCAGTAAACCTATTAGCTGTCAACCAACTAGAAGCGAGGGTAGCCAATGCAACCCTTCTGGATGCTCTCCAGTTACTTCTGACACAGTCAGATCCCATCAAGGAACCAGCTGTCTTCCTGTCACATCCAGTAGTTCCAGTGCCTGCCGTCCAGCATCCTCTAGTCAACCTCTGAGCTGCCGTCCTCGAAGTTACCAGACCTATGGTTGTCAACCCTTGAGCTACTTGACCTATGACCGTCAGCCTCTGAGCTACCTGACTTGTGACCGTCAACCCCTGAGCTACATGGCCTATGGCCGACAACCGCTGAGCTACATGGCCTATGGCCGACAACCGCTGAACTACCTGACCTATGACCGTCAACCTCTGAGCTACTTGACCTATGACTGTCAACCCATGAGCTACTTAACGTATGGCCGTCAACCTGTTAACTACATGTCTGATTGCTACAGACCCATAAATTATACAGTCAGTGATTTTCAACCATGTACCTCTTCTTTGAGCATCTGGTAATATCTTTGTTAAAGATCTTCTGGAATAGATGGAAACATCCTATGCTCACTGGCTTTAAGAAATCACTCCACTTTCTATCAATGGCTCTTTGCATTCTGTATGGGTTGTGTTATCTCTTGTTATCCTATACTAGATCTACTTAATGAGACTTTGCTTTGCTTTGGGAGCTTTTATTGCTGACTTAAAAAAAATGTATGTTTTTCAACCTGGATGAAATTCTTTTCCTCTATTGTCTTCTTAATTAAATAAAGCACAACTTGGCATTCAAATCACACTTTTCATGTGTTATCATTTATGCATACCTTATTCGATATGATGTGATATGAATAAGATAGTATCTGACCTTGAAGATTTAGTCTTATAGACTTTGATTTGGTTTCAAGCAAATACTTCAGTACCATGTGTAAGAGAATTCATTATTTTGTGAATAAAATTCTGTAGAGGAAGGAAAAAGAAAGCAGAAATAAAATGATTGTAGGGAGTATTCAACTTCTAGATATAGTTCATAGCTTGTATTATTTACTATTATATGCACTAGATCTACATGATGATCAAAATATGATGAGTTAGAGCATAATGCCACTAAATCCGTGAGTGAGCTTTGTTTGTTCTGAGCCAGGTTGATACACATATGACAATTAGAATGGAATTGCTTATTTTCATGCTGAGGTCTGTATACAAAGTCACACGCATGTTCTTTCTAAGAATTATGCCTGAGTTGTTGACAAAGTGGGCCTCTTCATCTCTGCTGCCAGAACAAGTTGACCAATGTGAAACTGACTTCTAATTCTTGTGTTACCATGGGGAAAATTAAATGGAGTTGTAAAGCATCATGACTGGAAATGAGTAAAGAGATGAATATCCCCAGGAGAGTGAACACAGGCCTGCTGTAAAGAACACACTAACATTTTCAGAGGGCACAACAGGGAAGTGTATCCCAGAAGAGTTTGTACAAAGTCTTTGAGACTGAAAAGGCAAGGTTTTAGACCATTTTTGAATATTTATATGGAATGAAATATGGAGGTTCTGGAGCAGAATATTGGAGAGATTTTGAAAACACATTTTAGCACCAGGCATTAGAACATTATACACCTTGTTCAATAGTGAATACTTTATCATGAAGGCAACAGAAAGTGATAGAAGCCTGTGCTTTACAAAAAAAAAAAAAAAAAAAAA